ATGAGGACAGCACTAGACTGAACTGGGGCCCCGGGGAAAGGGGCGCCAGCCTGGTGGGAGCGTGAAGCTGGAGGGCAGGGGGTGGGCTGCCGGGGTCTGGGCGGGGCCCTGAGCTGCACTGTAGTCAGGGACTTGGGACTGCACAGGAAAGGAGCTGGCTGTGGGCAGTGGGAGGAGAGAAACGGGCCAGGCTGAGGCCAGCGTGGGAGGCCAAGGGAGGGGGCAGAGGCATCATCAGTCCAGCCCCACTGTCCTGCTGAGGTGGAGGGGCTTCTGCCGGCCAGGGGAGGCAGGGAGGACAGAAGGAGAGGGATTCCAGGAGAGAGAACTGGACAGGAGGGACACACGGGAACACATACACATACACACGAAAGACACCCATATGTGTGTGCACTTTTGCTCTAACTTGAAAACCAGCCACAAACAGGTGTAGTAGAGCACACCTGTATTCCCAGCTACTTAGAAGGTTGAGGCAAGAGAATTACAAATTCAAAGCCAGCCTGGGCAATTTAGCAAGATCCGATCTCCAAATAAATAGGGCTGGGGGGTGTCTCAGAGGTAGAACACTTGCCTAGCATGTGCAAGGCCGTAGATTCCACCACAAAAATACATACATATAGACATACACAAAAATGCCCCAGCCACATACAAACAGGCATACACAAACACAGCCCTTCATGCTAACATGTACATGCACATGCATGCTGCATGTGTGCAGATGTACATACACGCAGCCACACACATGCAGACACATGTGTAGAGACAGAGCAGGGTCCCAGTTGACATTCATATAACACAGATGTGCATAGAGCCATAGACACCCAGGTATCCACCACAGAGGTTCAGGTAACAGCCACAAGGGGACATCCCTGTCCCTTCTACCCACATGTAAGTTGCCCCCCCCCACACACACTGCTGTTGAAACAAGCTCATCTTTTCTTTTTCAGGCCCTTGCACTTGCCAGGGAAGTGCTTATTCCACTGAGCCATCTCCCCAGCCCCTTTTACTGCTTTTTAAAAGAGACGTATTTCTCTGCTGCTCAGGTTAGCTTTGAACTCCTGGTTCCAGGTGATCCTCCTGCCTCAGTCCCGTACCTAGGTGAAACCACAGGGTGCGCACCGCTGTGCCTGGCTTGTACAGGCTCCTCTCTGTGACGTTAGCTCTGCTCACCCACGCAGCACATACCCTCAGAGCAGGCGCAGATGCACACATACCTACACACACAGCCGGACAGCTCACACAGCCACAGGACACAACTAACCCCATGAGAGGAATCTCTGAGCACCTCGATAAGAAGCAGCATCAGCACTGGAGCCCCAACCTGGGGGCCCGCTGGGGAAAGTGAGACACAAACCGCAGCCATTGCCCAACACACCCTCCCTGCCCAGCCCAAGGTCAGGGAGGAGCCAGGGCAAGCCTCACGTGCCTGCCCACGCAGCAGCCGTTGCCACCGACAGCAGACACCCAGCCTCTGGCCACCCTGGCCACCGACAGACAGTTGGGATTGCAAAGGATCTTGCAAAACCTTCCCCATCCCTCAGGGTTCAGCTAAAGTGTCTCTTCCCCCCAGGGAAATCCCCCAGGCTTCTGCATTCTGCAGACATATTTAACCTTCTTTCAGAACTCTGGTTCTACGGTGCCTGGATGTGTGACCTCAGGCAAGTCACTGTACCTCTCTGCTTTCATTCTTAGCAGTGTAAAATGAGGATAACAAGAGCCTGCATTGAA